TCTCTTTTAATCAAACAAAAACTCACCTGCTCCAGTTACAAAATACCATGCAGCTTTCTCAGTTTTGCTCACTGACAAGAACCAGTTTTGATACAACAGGTATAAAAGAAAAGCGAGGAAAGCAATAAAACTATGGGTGGTTGGGTGGGCAATTAGAAAAATACCCTCTTGTCTCACTAATTTTTAAAAGCCAAACAAAAAGGGACAGAATTGTGTGGAAATTTTTAGGATTTTCAGGTATTCCTATCAAACAAGATGTATATGCTGTTTTTATCTTTCTGTTATGTTTAAGTTGCTATGTTATAGTCCTGTAGTAGTACTTACTTACTTAGGTGATCCCTCGTAGCATGAGGATGATGGTCCTCCAAGTATAGTGTCTTGGTGGTGTGTCTGTGGAACTCTATTCTTGATCTGCATGTTCTCCAACAGTGAGAACATCGGTTTCCAGGTGGAAGGCGGCCCTGGTCAGGGTTGGTTTGACATGCCTTCCTCTTGGCACATTTCTCCCTTTCACCCTCCATTTGTGCCTCTTCGAATTCTGCAGCACTGCTAGTCACAGCTGACCTCCAGTTAGAGCGCTCAAGGGCCAGGGCTTCCCAATTCTCAGTGTCCATCCCACAGTTTTTAAGGTTAGCTTTAAGCCCATCTTTAAATCTCTTTTCCTGTCCACTGACATTACATTTCTCATTCTTGAGATGGGAGTATAGTAACTGCTTTTGGAGGCTGTGATTGGGCATTCGGACAACGTGGTCAGTCCAGTAGAGTTGATAGTGTAGGAGCATCACTTCAATGCTGGTGGTCTTTGCTTCTTCCAGCAGGCTGACATTTGCCCATCTGTCTTCCCAAGAGATTTGAAGGTTTTCCTAGGCAGTGCTGAGGGAATCATTCCAGGAGTTGAGTGTGATGTCTGTAGGCAGTCCACGTTTCACAGTCGTATAGCAGGGTTAGAAGGACAATGGCTTTATAAACAGGCATCTTGATATCTCTACAGATGTCCCAATCCTCAAACACTGTAATAGATGGTATGTGGTTGTGCAGTTTTTGCTTGTGTGCAATTTGCTTAAAGAAGAAGAAGAAAAACCAGACAGGAGCAATTTAGGAAACTGTAAATTGTTTCTGGTGTGAGAGAATTGGCTGTCTGCAAGGATGTTGCCCAGGGGATGCCCTGATGTTTAATGTTTTACAATCCTTGTGGGAGGTTGCTCTCATGTCCCCACATGGGGAGCTGGAGCTGATAGAGGGAGCTCATCCTGCTCTCCCTGGATTCGAACCACTGACCTGACCAGTTCTGCTAGCACAAGGATTTAACCTATTGTGCCACTGGACAATGAGAGGTGCTGGCTTGAATGTTGGATTAGGGCCCCAAGAGACCTGATTCAATTTTTTTGCTTTGTCATGGAAACCCATTCGGTGACCTTGGACAAGTCTCACTCTCTCAGTCTTAAGGGAATGCAATGCAAATCCTGCCCCTAACAAATCTCAACAAGAAACCCATTTGTTAGGATCACCTTAGAGCTTCTTTTAGTTAGAAATAACACACAAAAAACTACTATTGTATGTTATTGAATGCAAGGCTGAGAACATTTGTTACACAGCAAACATATTAAATAAATTATACATAAAATGAATGCTGGGTTACTGTGAGTTTTTCAGGCTGTATGACCATGTTCCAGGAGCATTCTCTCCTGATATTTCACCTGCATCTATTTTAGGCATCCTCAAAGGTTGCAAGGTCTTCCTTTATCATGAATGCTTCCTTGCTTTATCATTTTTGGAAATTTTCAGGTGTTTGCTTATTTTGGCGGGATTTTTTGTAAAGGAGGAGAGGGAATTTACTGGAGATCTCATCAAGCCTTCTCTTTTAGCTTCTGAGATTTCATCAGAAGTTATTCATATGCGTTCAAGATTAATTTAAGAACCACAAAGGATAGAGACAAGCTAGATTTTGGGGAGGGGTGGTGTGCATGTTCACAAATACAGATATTTTGATACCTATATTAAATATGCAGATAATCCCTGAGTAACCAACATCCAACTTACAAACGACACATACGTACATAAGAACGGGGTTGAGACAGCAGGAAGTGAGAGAAATATTTCCCCAGGAAGGGAGATTCACTCCTGTAAGACTTACCATGCAGGAAAGGGTTCTCCACTGAAGCTTTATCACCAATTCTTGTTTCCAAAATGACCCAAAATGTTCAAAATCCAATGATCATGGGGACAGAAAGTGAGGTAAGTTGTTCTGATTTATATATAAATTCAGCTTAAGAAGAAACCTCCAGTACCTATCTTGTTTGTAACTTGGGGATTGCCTATACATAAATCTGAACATTTTAAGCACCTGAGATTGTAATAATGTGGCCTACTATTAAACATACTGTTCGCAAACCCCTGGTTACCACACTAGGGATGCATCTACACTGTAGAATTAATGCACTTTGACACCACTTCAGTCGTCATGGTTAGCTGCTATTTCTCTCCCCCCCCCCCCTCCTCTATCTCTCTCACTCTCTCTGGTGGACAGAATTAACCAAGCTGGCTGTCAACATTACCAATCCGCTTTTGTAATTACAAAGGGGCTGTGCAGTGTCAACATCCTACGTTCATGAACATGACAGGTGAACAAGAGCAGGTGCAAATAAAAGGGACAGCTGGAACAACAGAGATGGGCCAGATTAATAAACGCTCAAAATTTTAGAAAGAGAAAGGGTTGGGGAAGAGTTCAAAAGCAACCAGCAGGGATTATGAGGCCCTGGACTAGGAGAAGCAGCCTTGAATGTCACCACAATGCTTGATCATCTTAGCGTATGTTTTACAAGATGCCAGGAAAGAGAAAGTTTCACCACCAACTTCCTTCCTCTTCTCTACCCATTTCTGCAAGAAAAAGAAACAAGATGATGCAATATTTTTTGAAAAACATTACTTTGAAAAAAAATTCAGACTTCAATAATTGGGCATAATAAGGATAGAAGATGGGAGCCCTGTCTATGAATTGTCTGATATTCAAAATGTCTCCAGATATTTATTTATTTATTTATTTATTTATTTATTATTTAAAACATTTATATTGCACCTTTCTCACCCTGCAGGGACTCAGGGCAGAGCATATATATATATATATATATATATATATATATATATGGCAAACATTCAATGCCGGAACATTATAAACATACACAAACATTAAAACCAGTCATCTCCGCTTTTAAAATCAATTGTTTAAGTTACCTGAAATCAATACAGTAAGATTCTTATTGCAACCTTTTTGCATGGTCCCAAAGGCTTGATCCCACAGCCAAGTTTTTACCCTCTTTCTGAAGGACAGGAGGGAGGGGGCTGCTCTAATTTTGTCAGGGAGGGAGTTCCATAGCCAAGGGGCAGTCACTGAGAAGACCCTCTCTTGGCCCTGCCAATTGCACCTGAGACAGAGGCAGGACTGAGAGCAGGGCCTCCCCAGAAGATCTTAGTCTCCGCAATGGTTCATAGAGTGAGATGCGTTCGGACAGGTAAATTGAGCCAGGACCATATAAGGCTTTATAGGCCAAGGCCAGCACTTTGAATTGTGCTCGGTAGCAAACAGGCAGCCAGTAGAGCTGATGCAACATAAGAGTTGCGTGCTCCCTGTAGGCTGCCTCAAAGCTTCTTGTTGGGTTATTTAAAGCTTTCGAACAGTCTTCAAAGACTACCTCACGTAGAGCGCATTGCAGTAGTCTATCCTTGATGTAACGAGAGCATGGACCACTGTGGCCAAGTCTGGCTTCCCAAGGTACGGACGCAACTGCCGCACAATTTTTAATTGTGTGAAAGCCCCCCTAGCCACTAATAGCATTATATTATTAGCATAGTACAATATCAGTATTATATATTACTATATTGTACTATACAATTATATTGTAGTAATTTTAGTAATATTACATGTAATACAAAATATATAATTATAATATAGTATTATTAGTAGTATTATATTGTATTACATTATAATACTACAAGTCTGACTTGGCCATGGTGGTCCACGCTCTGGTTACATCCCATATTGACTACTGCAACACTCTCTACGTGGGGTTGCCTCTGAAGACTGCCCGGAAGCTGCAATTAGTCCAACGTTCGGCAACCAGATTACTAACGGGAGCGGGGTACAGAGAGCACACAACTCCTTTGTTGTGCCAGCTCCACTGGCTGCCAGTTAGCTTCCGAGCACAATTCAAAGTGCTGGTTTTAACCTACAAAACCCTATACAGTTCCGGCCTGGTTTACCTGTCTGAATGTATTCTCCCCTATGAACCAACAAGACAACTAAGATCTTCTGGTGGGGCCCTGCTCTCGGTCCCGCCACTTTCGCAATCGCGTCTAGCGGGAACGAGAGACAGGGCCATTTCTCTGGTGGCCCCTCGGCTATGGAACTCTCTCCGGATTGAGATTGGATTTGCTCCCCTCCCTCCTGTCCTTCAGGAGGCTGGTGAAATCCTGGCTATGGAAGGAAGCATTCCCAGAGAAATGGTTGAGACCGGCTACAGAACAAAGTTATCAGCCATACATACGGGCTGAGTTGGACATGAGTTGGAAGGGCGGAATATAAATACTGTAAATAGATTATTATATTATTAGTAAAGCACAGGACACAAGATGGAACTGTCTTTTGCCCCCATTGAATAGTTGCCTGTTGGAAGCCGCCCTGAGTCCCTCTTTGGAGGTTGAGAAGAACGGGGTATAAATGTTCTAAATAAATGAAACTACAACTCCCATGATCCCATAGCATTGAGATATAGCAGAGTGGTGCCAAACTGTATTCATTCAACATTGCAGGTGCATCCCCCCCCCCCTTTCTGGGTGAAAAGCCTGTTCAGATTGACCAATGCTTGGCACCTGAATGTCAAACTGCATGAGTTCCAACCTGTGTGTGGTCTGCCAATTAGAAAAGGCACATGGCAGGGGCTGCCCTTCGCCTAGAAAGGGACTCGTGCCTGCCTGCAAATGAGCTTTCTTTCTCGCAGCCAGATGCCTCTTTGCTCGGCAAGTAGGAACCGGAAAGCACCGGAACAAACAAAGGTTTGCCTTTTGCATCTGCCGGCAGGAATTACCCGATGGCTGCCGGTTGTAGCTGCTCTTTGGAGGAAGGAGAAGGAGAAGGAAGCAAGGAATGGAGCCCTTCCGAGTGCTGGAGCTCTACAGCGGGATCGGAGGGATGCATTACGCCTTGCAAGGTAGGGTCTGCATGGCCCACCCGGCTCCCAGGATTCCCTAGCACTGAGCCGTGGCAGTTCAAGTGGTGTCAAGCTGCATTAGTGTCACAGCCTAAAGGTTTGGCTTGGGAATCGCAGCGTGGCTACCTCCTCTTTATGAATGGGAGAGTTGAATGGAAACACCCTCTTCTTGTCACATGGTTGTGCCTGGTGACGTCACTGTGCGGGGGGGGGGGAGCTGTACAGCGATTTCCCAATGACCATCTGTACCATTATTGGCCCAGTGTTTCAGAAGAAGTGTAGACTCTCAGTTAAAGGGGTTGGTAGATGCTGGATCAATTTAGTTTCTGGTTGCTTGAGAGTTCCTTTTAAAAGCAGGCCTAATACTATAAAAGGTAAAGGTTTCCCCTTGACATCAAATCTAGTTGTATCCGACTTTGGAAGTGGTGCTCATCTCCATTTCTAAGCCAACGAGCTGGCGTTGCCCATAGACACCTCCTAGGTCATGTGGCCAGCATGACTGCATGGAGCGCCTTTACCTTCCCACCGAAGCGGTGGTAATAATAATAATAATAATAATAATAATAATAAAACTTTATTTGTACCCCGCCACCATCTCCCCAAGGGACTCGGTGCAGCTAACATGAGGCCAAGCCAACAGTACATCAATAAACAAAAGCAATAACAATAATCAATACAAAACAGTTAAAATAAACTCAAAAACAGAAAATACACAATAAGCAATAGACAATTTTATTTATTTTATTTATTTCGGGGTTCTTTTACCCCGCCCTTCTCACCCCAAAGGGGACTCAGGGCGGCTTACAGGAGCAAAGGCAAAATTTGATGCCTGCAGCACAGAACAATCAAAACACAAAATTACATCAATTCAGCAACAGTTCATGCATTATACCAATAAAATCAATAAAACCAATACAAACCCAATTCCTCCTCTTACATGGTCAGCATTCGCTAACTCATAGTTCTAATTTTCCGTTCCACTTCATCAATCCTGTTGGTCTTACTCGCCTGATTGTCTTATTTAATTGCCAGATTGCCCAAAGGCCTGGTCCTGAAGGAGAGGAGGGATGATGATGCCCTGATTTCCCCAGGGAGAGAGTTCCACCGGTGAGGGGCTACCACTGAGAAAGCCTTGCTCCTCGTCCCCACCAGCCTCACTTGTGACAGTGATGGGGTCGAGAGCAGGGCCTCCCCAGATGATCTCAGACTCCGGATAGGAACGTAGAGGGAGATACGTTCGGACAGATACACTGGACCAGAACCGTACAGGGTTTTGTAGGTCAAAACCAGCACCTTGAATTGTGCTCGGAACTGAACCAGCAGTGGAGCTGGCACAACAGAGGGGTGGTATGCTCCCTGTATGTCGCTCCGGTGAGCAGTCTGGCTGCCGCTCGTTGGACTAGTTGAAGTTTCTGAACAGTCTTCAAGGGCAACCCTACGTAGAGCGCGTTGCAGTAGTCTATTCGGGATGTAACAAGAGCGTGGACCACCGTGGCCAGATCAGACTTCCCAAGGTACGGGCGCAACTGGTGCACAAGTTTTAATTGCGCAAAAGCTCTCCCGGCCACTGCCGAGACCTGGGGTTCCAGGCTCAGTGGTGAATCCAGGATCACTCCCAAGCTGCGAACCTGCGTCTTCAGGGGGAGTGTAACCCCGTCCAGCACAATAACAATATCAAAACATACAGAATTTAAAAATCTATGGCCGGGCCAAACGTAATAATTCAAATTTAAAATCAAAAAGTGCAGGGCATGAACAAAGTAAGGCAAATTAGAATAGGGTTTTCAGAGAAAAATGAGGGCACACAGACAATCCTAAGTCAGTATTAAAGTGCATTTGAGGACATATTGCGAAGAGTTCTCCTTATTCTGGTACCTATTGATCTACTCACATTTGCATGTTTTTGAACTGCTAGGTTGGCAGAAGCTGGGGCTAACAGCGGGAGCTTACCCCGCTCCCCGGATTTGAACTGCCAACCTTGTGCAGCAGTTCAGCAATTTAATCCACAGTACCACCATACTATAAACCAGACATGGGCAAACCTTGGCACTCCAGGTGTTTTGGACTTCAACTCTCACAATTTCCAACAGCCTACTGTTAGGAATTGTGGGAGTTGAAGTCCAAAACACCTGGAGGGCCAAAGGTTGCTCATGCCTACCATAAACTCTGTATTGACTTGATATTAATATTTGAAATACAGTAATTAAAAGCAAATGGAGACAAACTGAATGTCATCCTGTTTTATTGTGTTACAAAAACAGATACTGTATTTGCTTTAATCAAGATCACCCTGTAGCTAGTTACAATGACACAAATATTTTTGGTGAGCCCAGCTTACATGCACTGTATCATGTGCTGTGGGCTTCTGGTGTCCACTGGGTTTTGGTTCCAGTGGATATCAAGATCCGTAGACACTCAAGTCCCATTATATATAATCTATATAAATAAACATGTAATGTTCATTTGTGGGATTAACATAACTCAAAAACCACTGGACGAATTGACACCAAATTTGGACACGTGACACTTCTCAGGCCAATGAGTGACCATCACTCATAAAAACACTGAAAAACACAGTGGAAGAGATGTTAAAAGCCAAAAAACAAAAAATACATTACAATGCATGTGCAAAACCACATACACACACACATATACATATATACACAAATATAAATACACACACATTCACATATATACACACAAAACACATATATACAAACTGGGCCAGAGCAATTCATGGCAGGGAACGGCTAGTGACATAATAAAATGCTGCTACATATAAAATAGCAAAACTGAGGTTCTCCCTCCCTACACACAACAACAACAACAACAACAACAGAGTCAAACTGTGTTCATTCTACAGTATAGATGTAGTTTTGGTCCTCCAGCTGTTACTTGATTCAAATTCCCCACCATCTTTCACATACCAGCTGTGCCAAGACTGATGGGAGTTGCAATCTAGTAACACCTGGAAGTCCAGATGTTGTTTATCCTATATTCTATGGCACCCAAAGGAATCCCACCAAGGTAGCTGCTGCATCCAACTAGAAATATTATATTCTAGAAAGCTAATGTAAGCTGCATTGACTCAGCAAGACTGGGAGAATATGTGTCTCCGGCCATTTACCGTGAATACATTTTCAAATTGTGCACCACAGTTAATGAAATTAGCAGCAGCTGTTTCCTGGTGAGGACGGCTTTACTTTAATCCAATTTAAGTTCTGAATTTCAGCATTCATTCTGGCAAATTTATGAGTGCTTGAGTTTTCTGTTAACCCCTTCCTCTGAGGTTTGGTTGATGGGAATGAAAAAGCAGACTTAAGCAACAAAACTGTCTTCTAAACGAACCGTCATTTTATCTTTACACAGAGGTATTCGCTTATACCAGCCCTCTAGCCCTCCAGATGTTTTGGACTATTAGGAATTATGGGAGTTGAAGTCCAAAACACCTGGAGGGACCAAATTTGCCTATGCCTGGTTTATACAGCGTACTCTCAGTTGTCCGGAACTCAAACAACTGGAACTCTCAAGCAACCAGCAAAAAAATTCAAAGAGATAACACATAAAGCATTCACAAAGATGTTTTCGTAATCCAGTACACTTAAACTATTACATTAAGTTAGGCTTGTCTTTCTTTGGTTAAATTCCAGTATTTCAATATTGATATCAAGCCAATGCTGAGTATAGTATGGGATGTAGGCCTATTTTTAATGGTATCTTTTGAGCAATCAGAAATTACATTTATCAGGCATCTATCAATCCGCATGAGTGCCAGTTAACTGAGAGTATACTTTATATGCACAGTGTGCATATGCACACACACTCACACATGAAAAATTTGGGTGTGTTTCTCTGTGTACTCATTATTACTCCCCAGTCATTAGAAAAAAACCCAAATTTTCCATGTGTGTATATTCATATGTACTTGTGTGTATGTGTTTGTGTGTATTGTTTTTATACTCATGTACCATTTTTGTTTCGCTGCACTTGGAGTGCCTTGTAAGCTGCCCCAAGTCCCTTTCAGGAGATTGTGGCGGGATATAAATAAAGTATATTGATTGTTGTTTTTGTTTTTGTTGTTGTTGTTGTTGTTGTTGTTGTTATTTGTATGTATATATTCAGTACACACACCTTCTGCATGTCTATAGAGTGCCTTCAGATATTGATGTAATCACTAATTTTTTTTAAAAAAATTGATTTTGATTTTAGACAAGTTTTTTTAAAAAATCAGTGTTAAAGCACAGTTAGTCTTACTTTCCTCATTCTTTTACCAGATGATCATCACGGTCCTGTGAGATGGTGTGTTAGAGAAAATGTGTGTGAATGTGAATGAGAGGGGCCCAGAGTCATTCAGCGAGCTTTATGGATAAACAGACATTTGTACTCAGGAAATCCAACATCCTGAACACATTATGACCTACCGTACTCATTATTGGGAGGACTTTTAAAATGATCTGTAACTGTTGAATTCATGAAACTTGATTCATCATTGAATTAGTTTTGGTTACTCTTCCTTCAAGACTGAGTGTTCTTCCACACAGTCATATAACCCAGAATATCAAGGCAGAATAACCCACAATATCGGAGTCCACACTGCCATATATTCCAGTTCAAAGCAGAAAATGTGGGATTTTATTCAATTGTGTGGAAAGGGCCAAATGGAATCATATATTTTCCATCCCCATTTATATTTGCCCTGTTCAAGTATATGAGAGTTATGTGGCCTTCCAGTGGCTTTTGGACTGCAGGTCCCAGTACTCCAGCAAGCACAGTCAGTTGTGACAAATGCTGGGAGATATAGTTCTCTAACATCTCCAACACTACACAATTACCCCTTCTGTTTTTAACAGTTTAAGCATTTAAGTTAGCAGCCAGCTAATGTGCCTGTAGTCATCTGAATTAGGGATGCTCCAGAATACAGGAACAAAATGCTATTCATTTCCGAAACTTGCATTTACATCTTATGCCCACGGACAGAGAGGAGTTGCTTTCATGTCTAT